ACCACCATGAGCAGTTCAAGACTCTTGGACCTGGTCTCAACGGTCGCCACAGACACGATGAAGCGAATGTTCGAGACCAGTTCCACTGCACATTATGGCGCACCCGGCCTAGGTTACAGCTCGACTGACTCTGTCGCGACAGTCACTGTGAACACAACAAAGAAAGCATTGCGTAATACTACCGAGGGCGAAAGTACGACCATGAGCAGTTCAAGTCTTTTGGACCTGGTCTCCACGGTTACCTCGGCCACGATGAAGCGAATGTTTGAGGCCAGTTCAACTGCACATTATGACGCACCTGGCCTGACTGACTCTGTCGCACCAGTCACTGTGGAGAAGACGAAGAAAGCATTGCATGAAAATACCGTGGGTGAGGATGCCACCACGAGTCCTTCCAGCAGCCAACGCCTTGTGTCGGAGTCCGTCATTGAATTGAAGGCGAAGGGGTTACAGAAGAGTACAGGCCCCACAGCAGCGACTACCGCAGAATACGAGACTACCGCAGAGCACAAGACAACCACAGTATACCCAAGTCAGTTGAAGATGCCGATGACGAGACGTGAGTTGGACGGGCTCGAACTCCCTTGGTCCGACTGTCGATACGCATTCCGTTCAAAGGATTATAAGGAAGAACCTTACCCCCGGATAAATGCAGCAATCGGAAAATATCCCTGCGAGGGCAGTGGTAAATTAATGTGTGCAGGATCGTTGGGCACCTGCCATAGATTTGGTGGTGTGTGGGCATACGACATCTTTGCAGTGAGGGAAGCCATTGATTATTATTTGCAAAGCGTGGGAGTGCACTGTATTGCACGGTGCGATAAGGAGGGAGAAGTGGTGCGCCCTTTGTGGGAAGAGACTTCAAGGCGTCTTCCCTTTATTCCTCGATGCCCTGATAGGGGGTTCATGGACTCTACGCAAACCCCCAAAGTTCCCGAAATGAGGGCTTTTGATGCCATGTTGCGAGCACGCTATGCCATGGTAAAGAGCTGTTCAGGGAATTGTATCGGCTGTTCGAGGAACGGCCCGGCCGAGAGTTGTTCCTGTGATTTTGCAGAGGTCAAGTGTCGCGTTAGGGCCGAGGGAGAAATGCTTGAGCAATGGATCAAATTAATTGGTTACAATACGACAGTGCGAGACGTTATGAGACGGATGTCTCCGTTCAACACGAAGGACAAACTGTATGCGACTTATAATTGCCAATACGAATGCCGTAAGATGAGACCGGATCTTGCTTCCGTTAGTAACTTGCGAACTGTGGAAACGGAGCCCACGAGTCCGGAAGATGCTCTGAAACTGAGATTGAGCAGACGCGAGTTAAGTAAGCTTCAATTGCCTTTGGTAGATTGCGAAAAATATCTTAAAGGCGGGTGGCAAAAGTTGCAAGGGACCGGTAGACATCCGTGTGGCGGTGGAAGCGGAGTGATGATGTGTAAAGAAAAGAATGAGTTCCTCTCTTGTCATCGTTTTGGTCCCCTGTCGATGAATGCTTTCGCAGTGGAGGATGCGGTCAGACATTATTCATCAAATGTTGGAGACTGTGTTGTACGTTGCGGTTCAAGATCCGACGAACGGCGTTCCTTGTGGGATGAAGCGCACAAGCATTTGTTCAACACATTGCCTGGTTATGATCCGGAGCGAGCTGGTTATAGTTCGGATAAGCCTCCACGATGGGATTTCGAATATGTGCTGCCCACATTTTTGCCTGCCGACCGAAGTTGTTCGTCGACTTGTGGTTCTACACTACAACCATGCGACAATGTCCACAACTGTGTGTGCCGCGTTGCGCACAGTAAATGCCAGACCGAGTTCGAAGGCAAGCCCCAAACTGTTGAATCGTGGGGATTTGATACACGCATGGAGGACGTATTTAAAATGCAATCTGTTCCCGGAGCTAACATCAAATCCGGACACCACGAAGCCAAAGACCTCCGTCTCGATACCTGCCAGAACGACTGCCACGGCGTCCTGTGGTCATCAGAGAATGTCTGAAACAATTTTTTTCCCCACAACCCCTTGTGAAGGTTTTCGGTCGACGATTTGAGTCAGTACTACTGTGTTCGTGCGCATCCGATTCTTCGTCCTTAGTTGACGGTGGGTCGCAATTCTTACACTCGCGATGCTTACTTGCCCACCCTCGCTTTCGGACCTTTTTATACAACACCCGTGGTGGAGGCTCCTTCACTGGCGCTTGGCGGCTCGCACGTAATGGACGACCCGCACTGTTGGTCCTGTTTTGAGTTGCTGAAGAAAACCCTGTTTTGGATCGCCAAAGAAAACATCTCATGAACTAATACGGCCGTCTTAACTGGGCGATGTAAGACTGGGTTTTGCTCGATACGCGCGAGTGGTTTGAGTGAACAGGGGCACTTGAACGGTACGGATGACATCACCCAGGTACAGACGGGCCAGCACTACGATGGACACATATTAAGGCCAGAAGAGTCTTTGTTCCTAGTAAGCCGAGTGGACAGTTGGGAGTGGGCAAGACTCGGAAGCACTGTACTGCTGGTCTCAAGAGTACATGGGTGCTTAGCCGGCCGAGCTTGTAGAGAAAAGAACCAAAACACAAGCATCCCAGGCTTACATCGCCCCAGAGACCCGCGAGGCCTAGAGGACCTCCTCGGCAGTGCTGTATTGAGTGGAGTGTTGAGGACTTTAAAGCTCAGTAACCGGGTCTGGAAAAAAAACTATTACGTGAGCCGTCACGGCGTGCGGCCGGGATCCGTCCACTATGAGTCACAAAGGAACGTCCGACTGCGATCCCACTCCACACAGGGCCGGTATTGTGTCGAACTGGTCCGCTGCTGACGTGGTGCTGCCTGCGTCATACGGAGTTCTTGGTGTTGATTCTGCTACCTTGCATCGCTAGGTTGCTAACTCTCCCTGTATTACAATAAAAAGCTTCGGCGGGCGAGACATAACAACTGAAAACTCGGTGGGGACGGGCCGTCTCTCAACAAATTTAAAAGAGATAGACTTTTGAAGGACAGAGAACTTCATATGATGGCTGCTCATCCGGTTCAACCGGTTAAATCCACGGCAGCTTATCGTCAGGCTTGATAGCGAACCTAATCCACGTGGTGACGGATAACGAATCAACCTGACGAAAAGCTCCCGTTCCAGACGTAACTACTGCGTGGAGGGCTACCGCGAGCGACCAGCAACACACCAGCATCACACCGGCCACGGCGTGCCGAAGAATGCTCCAAAGGTGAGAGCGTGGAGTCGTCACTCAACGGAGCATAACGGGCTTGGACAGTGGTGTATGTTCTGTCTTTTTTTTGGGGGAACAATTTTTTTTGGGCGTACCAAATTCGCGGACGATGAAGGCGATATCATGCATCGAATCAATTGGGGTGGTGCCGGAGGGTCTTGTGGCATGGCTAATGAATGCCGATGGCACAGAACCATCGGTTAGAGGCTGTGAGGCCACGTTGTTGACGTTGGCCGATCGAACACAAGAGGCCAAGGTTCAGTTCGTCGTCGCGGCACCTAAGGGAGCGATAAGGAAGTTGATTGAAGCAGCCAACCAAGGTGACTCTCATAGCCAAGCTCTCTTGATCGAAGACAACGGATTCAACTGGCTAGAGCAATGTTCAAAAGTTTTCATGTGGAGTCCGCGTGGTGAGAGTAATACCATGGGAGAAACGTTGGCAATGCGTGAACTCAAAGCGTATTTCGATAGCGTGGACCCGCACGGTAATTGGACCTACATTTCGGATCAGATTTGCCGTGACAGCGTTGGTTTGGATATGTCGCAAGTGCGAAAGGCATTGAAGAAAGTAGGTTCATTGAAAGAGGAGGAACCGTTGGCTGTTACAGGTTGCAGACGACTGACACCTGGGGAGCTGAAAGACCTCCGAAGATGTGTGCCAGAAGAGTGGTTGACGCTGCTGCAGGACCCGCTTCCCAAGAGTCGCAGTGAGTCCGGCCTAGGTTGTGGTCTGGCGCGATGGGTTCGGGATCGACCTCGCACGGCTATTGGTTCAGCTGTTATCGGTGGGCTAGCTCTATACCTGATCTATTACTTTAGTTCCGGTGGTTCAGAAGGTGGGTCACCCCAAGCGGACGGCTCAAACATGCCGGACCTTGACCCGCGGGCGGAGGCATTGGAACAAGCGTTTGACAGCAGTTCAATCGGACACAATAACCGGTACAAGACGATGATTAGCGAGCTTGAGTTGGAGGAGGTCGAAATTCCTAAAGCCGAATGCCATGCGTCATTCAACGCTATGAAACAAAACAAAGGCGTACAGCCTCTCCTAGGGGTTGGAGAACTTGCCTGCCGAGGCGGCAGTGGAGAGTTGATGTGTGTAGGAAACGGCGGGCCACCGGGTACCTGTCATAGGTTTGGCGGTCCGTGGAAACATGACTACTTTGTTGTGAAGGAAGCCATTGAGTATCATCTGCGCAATAATCGATGCCTTCTACTTTGTGATGATCAGAAGGAAGTGCTACGTAATACATGGGAGGAGACTGCAAGGCGTCTACCCTTTATTCCTAGTATCCCTGATGAGGGATTCGTTGACTTTTCGCGAAACCCATCAGTTCCCGATCTGAATGATTTCGAGATGATGATGAACCCCCGGTACCCCCTTGTAAAGAGCTCCTCAGGCAAGTGTGTCGACTGTAAGAACGATCCCGCGATCGACCGATCTTTGTGTGATTTTGCAGAGGTCCGCTGCGATGTTACGGTGGGGGTTGAGCCCATCAAGCGCATGACAGCGATTGGTTACAACACGACAGCGGGAGACGTGCTGAGAAGGATGCCTGCGTTCAGCACGAAGGATACAGTATTCAACGTGAGAAAATGCGAATACGACTGCCGTAAGATGAGCCCAGATCTTGTTTACGTCCCTGACTTGCAAGTTGTGGAGACGCAGCCCACGGATCACAAGGATCCGTTTAAGAAGAGACTGAGCAGACGGGAGTTAAGCAAACTCCAGCTTCATTTGAACGAGTGCCAAAAGTCGCCTGAAGGCGACTGGCATGACTTGCCACAGATCGGCAAATATCCATGTGGCGGCGGAAGCGGAACAATGATGTGTAGAAAAAAAGTACCCCCGCAGCCGAGATCTAATTTCTGGTATTTTAACCCGAAAAATTGGGTGTCAAGGTCGGAGGATGGGCCCATCGTGTCTTGTCATCAGTTTGGCCCCCTCTCGATGGATGCTTTTGCGGTAGAGGATGCGGTTCATCATTATGTCGACGACGCCGGAGACTGTTTTGTACGCTGTGATTCGAAATCCGGAGAGAGGCGTTTGGTGTATCAGAGAGTGAAAGACCACCTGGGTGACGTATTGCCGGAACAAAAACAAGATCTCGCAATTGCTCTGAAAAAAGCCTTGCCTGCCGACCCGGGATGTTCATCAACCTGTGATTCCCACGTACTACCCTGCCCCGGTGTTCACAACTGTGTGTGCCGTGTTGTCCACAGTAAATGCGAGACCGAGTTCAAAGGCGACAAAGGTACGGTTGAATCATGGGGACTTGACGCACGCATGGAGGACGTGTTTGGAATGTTATCTGTACCCCTGGGTAACGTAAGGGCCAAACACCCTGATGTCAAAGCGTCACACCCCCGTGTCATCAAGAACTGCCAGCACGACTGCCATGGCGTCCTGTGGTCACAGACTGAATCTGTCCGGTCGGAAATGAGGAGATTGTCCCGCAGACAATGAATCGGTGAGATGCTTCAGCGCCATCCATTTTCAGAGCTGCTTAATTCGGCAGGTTACACACGCACTCCTTCAGCCTTTTACTTGTAACAAATTGAATTCATTCAACTCATTATTGTCCTCGTGTGTCTGTGAAAATACCCCACCCAGCCACGAGTGTCTTCTTTCAATTACTACGCATAATGAAATATGTCTCGGTGGACGAGTACAATTTTGTGGGTGTACAACATTCCATTCTTTGTCGTTGATTGTTTGTTTGCCAAGGCTGGAGTTGACTTTTTGGCACAACTGGTTTTACTTCATTGGGCACACACACGTGCACACACACGCATGAACGTCGATAATAAATCGGACACACAGTACACCGTTAAACCAGGTAGAATCCCGATAGGAGTAGTCCCGCTGTGACCTCGGAGTGCCCGGGCTGTGCTCGAGCCCGGGGTTTGCCGACTGATTAGCCCGCTTCAGCGCGCATGACAATAGCCTCCGGCTTGGAGTCGTCACTGAATACGACTTTAGATAGGAACCTACTACTAAAACAAAACGACCAAGATTACGCTACGACGCCAATGGGGGACGACAATTGCACCAAGCACTTCCTCAGCGTGACCATTCCAGCGTGATTCCGAGGGTGTGAGGCCGGCCTGCCTCACACCTCTGGACCAATCCGCCCGCGCTATCCGGTCCACCCGCGTTATCCGGTCCGCCCGCGTTATCCGGTCCGCCCGCGCTATCCGGTCCTAGTGTTTTGCTCAGGGTCGTGCCTCGACTGTAATAGAGACAAGCCTGTCGATAAGTGTTCGGGTTTAGCAAGTGTCTTGAGAAGGCCACGACTGTCTGGATTGGATCTGCGTGACCTGTCCGTTTAGGTGCAAATGTCCGTTCGGCACGAGTTGTGGGCCCACATGGCTTTCTGGCCCTGATAGCTCTCGTCTCTTGCCATCCTTAGTACATACAGGTTTCGCGGTGCAGGATAAAGCATGATCGCTGGGAAGACGACTATCATTGGGGACGGTTTGCTTTGTGATACATCTCTTGACTGGCATACTTAACCGATACCCGATACATGTGAATCTACGCACTATTGTGCTATGCACTATTGTGCTATGCACTATTGTGTCCACGGCCGCGAGCGGGTTCTGAAACATCGGGGTCATCAGGGAATGGGAGTTTTCCCAGCACCGGCATCAACGAGATGAACCGCGGACTGCCCATCGCCTTGATCGAAAGCATCCACTCCAGCATCCGTCCGCCGCCTTCCGAAAGTTCGTCCTTCGAGAACCCGTTCGCAAGCGGCAGACGAAACAGTCTGGCAGCCTCACCCAGGGCAGCTTACACTGCAGTCGGAGACGAGCACCTTCAACCGACGGCAGGGCCGAGTCGGATGGGGCCGAGTCGGACGGGGCAGAGCTTGGCGGTTACTGCTCAAGCTGAAGAAGAAGAAGAGTACTCCAGATTGCGGCACGGTTCGCGACTCCGAAACAATTCCCACCGACACTGGCACGACGGCGCTCCCAGTCCAGACTGCGGAGTGCAACCGCAAGTGGCTGGTCACCGCCAGTGCGGACAGTCTGTCGAGGCAGACTATCGGTATCCACAACGTTCGGCCAGGTTTCGCCCGAAGCGGTTCAGAGATGAGACAAAGCCGAACCGAGGTCAGGAACGTCGCAGACAGCCTCAAGGCGCCACGGAGCGTCGCTTCTTTGTAGAGCGGCGATATCCCAATTGGGCACCTAGTGGTGTACTTGGTGGGGCATGGTCACCGAAAGCAGCAAAATGGGTCTCTCCGCAATCAGAAGAGGAGGACAGTGAATATGACCACACAGTGGGCTTACACCGTCGAGGAGAGCGACGCCTGTGCGCATGTTTGTCCCACTCCGATCTTTCCGACGGAGACGACGATTCCGCAGAAGACGACGACGACGACGACTATTCTGAAAATCAAGGCGTCGTCTCTGGTAAAAAAAAACGACCTTCCAACTGTCATGACCTACAACCAAAGCTCGCCCGGCGCAACCGTTTCGAACTCCACAGGGAATCCACCCGAGACTCGTCGACCCGTACAACAGGCGCCTACCTAGTGCTACTAACCACCGCCGAATGTGGAACTAAAAAATGTGACAAAACAGTTAAACTACTCTCTGACTTCGGCCTCGCATTCATCGAACTACCCCTAAAAGCATGTGATTCAGCATTCATCACAAAGGCATTGACAGGCTCCAAGTCGCTCCCTCAACTATTTTCAGATGGACAGTTGGTTGGTGGTTACTCTGAGATCAAATCTTGGGTAAAGTTCTTGACAAGTAGTGTATGATCGAATGAATGGGTGGGTTAAGTTGACATGGAGCCAACGAATGATTAATATTTTTGAGGAAAAAAAATTAAATGAAAAAATTTGCTGTGTTACCACCTATTCACAGAATCCGCCATATTTCAGGCCCTCCAGTTTAAGAGCAAGTCCGGTGTTGGGACAGACAGCTCCCACTTGAAGTGTTCTGAAGCTGGAGTCGCAGTGGATTCCAAGTAGCATTTTATAGAGGGAAGCGTAATCGTTGATTTGGCAGTAGGTACAGATGGCACGAAGTAGAGCAAGGTCGGAGGGGGTATTTGGCTCCCTGAACGCTCGAGGAACAGGTACGTGAGCACTGGCCGGGGCATTTTGAACGTAGTTACAAAATGTTTCCAGACTAGCCAATTCGAGCTGACGAGTCATAAATGATAGTTTAATTTTCCGTAAGATGCCTCTTGGATCTGCCTCTCCATTCCGCCGACCCCAAGGACCTGATAACAGGGCCTTTCGATCAGGTGCAGTAAGTTTCTTGAGACCTTCTTCTCTCTTGGGGTCGAACACACACAACTGGAACGCGCGAAAGACTCGTGGGTCATCCAGCAGGCTGCCATACATCCCACACAGCATGTTGAAGAGTGAAGGATCTGTGTTGAAGATGGTGGCATTCAACAACTTACTCACACCCCTGAAACCAACGCGCAGTGCCGATCCTCGCTTCATCTCCTTTACTTCCACGTTTGTGATCGGGTCCACGTTTGTGATCGGATCCACGTTTGTGATCGGATCCACGTTTGTGATCGGGTCCACGTTTGTGATCGGGTCCTGTGCGGGGTTGCTGGCGTCGGCGTTTGTGCACAGGTCGTCGCCTAGTCTAATTCTGCATTGCAAAAGAGCCTTTTGAGCGCGACAAAGGAGTGCGTTGCACGAAGCCAGCAGCACCCTCACCGTGTGGGGTGGTACGTAGGGTATGATAGGGAAGGCTGCGAGGAGTGCGAAGGAGACATTTTCTTGTTCGCGGACATGTCCCAACAGTTTGTCGAAAAGTTCGGTCATCCGTCCACTTCTGGCGGCGAGTAGCCAGGCTGATTCGTGTGCCCTGGCAGAAAGCCTACAAAGCCCGACACACTGGTCGAAAGTGAGAAAGGGCGCGGCCAGACGCACCTGGGTGGGTATGCGGCCCTCGGCTTCGGAGGCGGCACGAGTGAATAGCATAAGCACGCGTGCGAATAGCTCGAAATCCTTACGCTCGATCGCCGCTGGTAACTGCAGTCTTAATAATGTCTTCAAGTTTTCGCGACTAGTCAGCCACGCATCCTCACGCCTATACGCCTTCGCCAATCGCTCCGGATACGTCTCATTCAGCTCACTGCACCCCATATAAAACATACGTCGATCAGAATAATCATTACGTTCCTTCTTCCCCGCCAAATTGAACCAACATAAATCGGCACACGCAAAACAAAAACCACGAGCCAACAACGCCTTCGGAGTCTCGCGCACACGTCGACGATGTCCCTCCTCCACCAGACCGAACAAACGATCATTCAACGACGCCTTCAACCTCTGAGCACACTCTCTCTCCGATTCCGTCACGATTCCCGACGCGGCGGTCTCCGCCGCGTCGGTTCTCGCTACGGTAACAGCCACGGTACGGGTCTTTTGATAGTGTTTGAAAGTGAGGCCGTGACGCATCATATGATGCAGCAATTCATGGTCTTGGATGGGTGGCACTCCATATTTTCTCATTGAGTCTAACGGCCCGCCGCCAGTTCCGCGATTGAGGCGGACGGTGAGTGACACGAGTACCTCCGCTATCTCTCTGTGTTGGTAGAAGACGTTGTTTTGGCCGGGCCACAAGAACATTGAACGTTTGACAGCGTAGTCGCCGGGGTGCCACCATTGCGTGTTCAAGTCATACGTGGTGGCGGCATTACCCGAACCCGCGCAGGGCGTCGACTCATCGTACAGCTGAATTATGACCTGCTTCAACAAACTTGTTTCTTGCCGTATCAGTGCGCGCTCCTCCACCGTGCTATGAGGGTTCTTCAACACACTTGTTCGGTTTACTAGATTCGGCGTCATGACGGCCCCGTACTGCAACTGCACTACCGCCGCACATGCCACCGATACTGAAAACTTCTCGCCACAATTCGACAACGATTCTGTCGGACACAATGCTGCCGGACGATGAACTGCGACCAACCCGTAAATCCACTCCAGCACTGTCTTGTAAGGCACTGATACCGACACCGCCTTGTCGTGCAACTCTCGTCGCCTGAACGCCGCTACTCGACCCGGATCCACGCCCATGTAAATCTCCTCGGGACCCACGTTCCAGCCTCCTTCGAGACAGCCTTCTCCGGGAACGCCGGAGACTTTCACAAGACGCGGGATGGGGACTCTATCAATCGCTCTCCATGGCACACTGCAAAACGGCGTCTTCGAATCCCTGGCTGTGCGGCTCCGGGCACCCCCGGCCATGGCCACAGCGGGGTCGGGAGGCAACACTATTAGTGGCTGAATGGCTGGCAGCGAGTATGGGTAGATGTTTTCGTGCCGGTCGCCAAGTTCCGCGGGGTACTTGACCACACGTGGGAAGATCGTGGCCATGTTGAAGTCTGGCGCGTCCAGCAACCTCGGGTGGCCCAGGGCCCGTAGCTGATCCAGTATGGCGTCCAAGGTGCGTGCCAGGAACGCTCGCCCGTCGCAGAAGCCGACGCCGTTGTGCCCGGTGACGTACCTGCCGACATTCGCTGCCAGGTTGGCCAGCAAAAAGTCGTGACCGTTGCGAACCGCGTGGCCCATTTCGCCGAAGCACGCAGCCGAAGGGAACCCGTCACGTGTACGGAGGCTGTAGTCCACGTACTGCTCGGCCAAAGTGCAGAGCTGGGCCACACGTACGCCGCGTTGTGTCGGCGCCAGACAGGACCAACGGAGACAGCCTCGACTCCGGCGCCTCCAGGCCAGCCGCTTCCACTCGCCGCACCCGCGTGTGTGCAAACGATACGCCCGCATGTCCTGTGTCGACAGTCTAGTTTTAGCCGGCACTCGCCGGATCGACGCCAGCTTCTGCTCTATGTCGACCTCAGTCTCAGCCTCGGCCGCTGCTGGAGCCGCCTGGACCACAGCTGCGACGGCGACCGAGTTTGCACTGGAGTTCGCTCCGTGCAGGATTTCGTCAACCCAGACGGCCACGAAAGGCGCGTTCTGGGCAGGCAGGGTGCAGTATGGCTTGCGTTGCTCGCCGTAGGTTTGCCAACCCTTGCCGTCCACCAGCACCGTGTGATGCAGATCCAGCGGCTTGAGCATTCCCAGATGGCAACTCTTGACGACGCGGTCGAGCAGAGTATTTTCCACGAATTCCTGGTAAAGCCGCGAGCGCAGCGCTGCCGGTAATAGCGGAAGTGCAGGCGTATCCAGAGCCTGTACACACCAGCTGAGTTGGGCGAAGTCGACGGCCCGTTGCTTCTCCGCCTCCCGTATCAACTTCGCCACGGTGACCGGGTCGCTTTCTACAACGGCCTCCGTGGCGACCGGGTCGCTGTCGCGGCCTCCGCGGGCGAGCAGGCGTCCGCTGGCGTCAGTGACCGTGACTGAGCGTGCCACCTTGACGGCTTTGAGCATGTTCTGCACCTCGGTGTCGTCGTCTTTGTTTTGTTGCTCGTCCATCTCGCGTTTCAAGCGTTCCCAGTCGTTCTTGAGACTGGGGATGAACCGATTGAGCATAAGCTCGCTGAACTCGGTACTGTGGTAAATCCAGGGTTGCAGAGGCACCTGCATCACAGCGTTGTGATCTACCACATCCAACTGGTTCAGCAGCCGCAGTCTGCGTAGCACGTCGTACGATAAGACCCGATCTAACTCCATACCGCTCAGCTTACCTTTAAAGCTATGGCCATTCGCACGCACCTGTTCTAAATACAACTCCAACAAACGCGTGTAACATTTCTTATGTACAGGTAACAAGAAAGGCGTATCCGCATAACCCTTACCCATCACCTCACAACCCCGACGGACTCGATCCACACCATCTGGGCCATTCACACGCCTTGTCCATTCCACATCCCACTCAACTAAAAACTCAACCAACGCATCACTCTCGATCTTATAAACACGCATCAACTCCAACCAGGTTCGTAGCTCCAAATCCTCTAACTCCAAACGAGCCGGAATCAAAATCTTCTCAACCACTCGCTCAACATACCCGTGGAAGAACACCATCGGTACCCGATTCAAGAACATATATCCTACCATAATCCTCCCATCGGTGACGCCACCCCCTGACAGTGACGCCGCCCCCTAACAGTGCCGCCCCCTGACAGTGCCGCCCCCCGACAGTGCTTACTTAGGTCTTGATCGAAGGGGAATTCATTGAACCAATTGAGAACGTAATCGCTTTGCAAATATTTCCCCCAACGTAACATGACTGTCAATGAGTCCACCTTGTCTTTAGCAGCGGCCTGCGCGTGCTCTCGAACACACAGAGCGTGTGCCAGACGTGCCCGTCCCTTTCTTCTGCAGCTGTTGACAACGAGTTTGCGGTACCCAGGTAGAACTTCTTCTGACCACAACTTGGTGAACAAGTCATCATCCAAACACTCCAAAGCCAAGTAGAAGCAGCCCTTCGACAGATCAGACTCGTAACGCCGCACGAGATCCCTAAGCGCTGCATACAGACCATCCCCACACAAACCCGCGACTGCCACCTCACGCCGCAATCTGGCCAACTCGATTCTCATTAATTTTTGCAATGGAAATTACGACCTCAAGCAGGCCAAGATCTGTTGACCCAAGACTCATGTTGCGTACTTGCATGTTGGACAAAATCATCTTGTTTTCTAGTAAGGAGTGTTGTGAACAGAAAAAACGAGTGTTGTGAGTCATTTCCGATCCTCTTCGGATGAGCAACTATAATGTTCAGGTCAACATCATCGAAAAGCTGACCCCGAAGCCGGCCTTCGGGGTTACAGCTCACCCATGGTCAGCAAACAACCCACACTGCATTCGTTTTCAACCGCACTGTAAAATAAATGGTCTAGGGTTGCATAACAGCTCCTTGCATGCCATTGGCCCTCATGACCTTGAGGCCACGTATTGTTATGCCACCGGGTGTGGTTACATTGTCCTTCAGTTGACCAAAATGCGTGTCCCGTGCTTTCTGCGCCATCAGTGCCGAGCCCATCATGCACTGAACAGCAAGCTCTCGCTGCGTCTGGCTGTCTAAAGACACTGGGGCTTGGTCGGCCATTGCCTCCACCCCCGCTGCCACAGCTTTGGGAATGTATACCAGAACCATTCTCACCCACGCCTCGATCTGCATGGAATTGGCCAAGTAAAATACATCAGGTGACTGATCCTTTCCCACTTCATCTTGTTCTCTCAGTATGACCTCTATTGTGTTTGGAACTGCATTCAGTATAGCGACCGCATCTACCAACCAATCTCCCGAACCACTATCTCCCGGACGACCGCTAAACCCCTCTGACTGGGAGCAGTCCACTTCTCTCACCGTATATGCTACCAAGACTCGGTCTTTGTGTTTCTCAGACAATGTAATAAAATCATCAACTGGCAACTCATCATCGACACGTACTAATACGTACTCTTCATTTTCTTGCACTCTCTGAGGTGTCTTCTGTGAACACACAGATCTGAGGTCAACAATCAACATCGGGTTCAGAAAGAAAAAATAGCAACAAGGTGAGTCTATTTGCACCACGACCTGCTCGTTCCCAACTCCGTGATCGCACACAACCTCATCCAACTCCGAGTGTCTTATTCGCACACTCACTCACAACACTCGTGTGGTTATTCAACATTGCGTGGTCACACGAAAGTGCAGACTCCTTTTTACTCGCACGTCAACCTACGTTCCTCTCGACATCAAAATACGGCCCCGTACGCGTTCGCAGGCGGCGACGTCGGCTTCCAGTTGTTACGTCTCTCCCACTGGTTTTTGGATGGAGGGTGCCATGCAAGCCAATAAAATGAATGCCAAAAAATCGTCTTATGACGCAGGCAGCACCACACCAGGACCCGACCATTCTGACACAACACGAGGTAAGAGACATTTTTCAGCTTTTACGTCGCGACCTCCGCCGCTATGTGCCATTATCCGAAAGGACCCACGCGATCCATCCAGTCTTGCCGGTGCTCTCTCATGAAGTCCTCCTTTCACACATCTGATGATTCTCCAGCAGTTGACTCACGCGATGTATCACTCTACACCTAAGGCCATTGCCTCGATCTCTCCGCGTCGGGGAGCTTCCTAGATGCGAATTCTAACGGGACTCCACTACCTTTCTGCATCTTCTCCACTCGCTGCAGCACCTCCTCGAACGGCCTGTCCGTCGCGATAATGATGATATTGTCGATGTAACACAGGGTGCGATCATTCAGCACCTCCTCGAACGCCGTGTCCATCGCGCGCTGGAACTCTGCTGCCGAATTCCTGATCGCAAAGGGGATGACGTGGAACTCAAACAGCCCAAACGGTGAGCTGCTTGCTCTCCTCCGCTGTAGACACATTACGTAATCTCGAGTTCACGCCGAAAGTCGTGAAGTGACGACTTCCTGTTCCCAAGGGGGACGGCCTGCTGCGTCCCTCAAGTGATCTCCACGCGACCAACAGATTCGACAGTTCATCTTCCACAGAAAAGTACCACAAAGGAAATATCCGAGCTAGCTCACAAAAAAATAAACATGGCTTACACACCCAGGATGCTGAGGAAAATGCAAGGGATAAATTTCACTAGAAAAAGAGGTTTATATAGGGCCAGAAGACCACCTCGTCAAACAAACGACAAACAGCAAATTCAGACCGAAAGAGGGAGGGGGAGGGAAAGAGGTCAGCCTTATTGAGTTGCACTTACAGAGACGCCCAGATATTGTGAAGACGGAAAATTGCGGGTGGTTATCATTTCGAATAAATCAAGACAAAATCAATCGACCATTCCGAGACTCGGGGGCTATCTCCACGCCCTCAAAAACACCAACAACGCCTTTTAAAAGTGGTGGGGTATAAAAAAGTGTGTGTTTGTAAACGCGCGCACTTCTTGGGATCGAACTCGACAAGCCCGATAATTTTTTTTTGTTACAAGCCTCCTTTGTAAGGCGGATATTTATTTTCAAGCCGAAAATTCGCGTTCAATCTTGTTTCAGGAACAATGTCAAACAGAATCAGGATGTCAGCTGAAGAGTTCCGTCAAATGGTCCACGAGGTTTTACCTGACGGTACGGTGGAGCTGGACGAGGACATCTTGTCGAGCCTGCGGAGCCGCCAGCATGCGGGCGTTACTCCTGGTGCTATACCGCACCAGTCACACGCCGTTCTGGTGGATTGCGAGACTGCTTTCCACGAGGAGTATGTGCTTAGGGAGGATAGGAGTATATCACCGAAAATGCTGGTGGAGCTGATGGGATGGCTGGCTCCCGCCGAGTTCAGTACAGCTGTCGGTGCCTTGACCCAGTCGAGCGGTTGGGGTAAGTCCCGTTTGTTTGCTGAAGTGGGAAAGACATATCGGTCTTTTTACATCAGTATGAGCCAAAGTTCAAACACCTTCCCCCGGCAGACGGGGAACTTCACGCCGCTCCAAAAAATACTCCGGGCCCATGCCGATGCGGATGTGATTGTGAGTCACATCATGAAGTGTCTAGCGTCATACATCCGCAGTACCCTCGATGATGAGCACCTCAGATCAATGACCCCGACTGAGTGGTTCGATTACCAATTGATGAACTGGCACCCGACCTACGACATGGCGGATGGTACGACGCTACCGCCTCTTGCACTGGTGGATGCCACCAATGATCTGAAACTCCAAATAAAGCGGTTTATGCAACAGTTCAAGGTCCCTTATGTGCTATTCATGTGCGATGAGGCAGCAGCTTTGCTGACTCCTTCCCAGACTGACCCCTTTTGTCCTGTCTTTCGTCTCTTCCGAAGAGCGTTCGCCGTGCCGGGAATCACTGCCTGCTTTGCAAGTACCAATTCTCGTGTTCAGAACTTCGCCCCCGCACTGCATGACGACGACTCCTACAAGCGATACTTATCAACGGTGCGTACGGACTCGTCCATTCCGATTGCTCCTGTCTTGTCTGTCGGAGTACCGGACTGCGGAGTCCAAGACGCTCCGTATCCGGTCGCTATGCACGACGTGCTGTCCGTTGAGTTTCTTTCCCGTTTCGGTCGCCCACTGTGGTTTGCATTTTCCAGACACTTTGATGAGAGCTACAAACAGCAAGGTCACAAGGCCCTTACCGCTATAGCCACCAGCAAGTTGATTGGAAAATCGGACCCGGATCTTGGAGTGCCCGCAGCCGTCATGGTCGTCGCTTGTGTGAGGATAACCCCGTCCATTCAGTTGGCAGAACAGCTCGTATGCAGTCACATGGCTACACTGCTCCATGTGTCGAAAAACCGAGAGCTACTGTACGTGGCGTACGGGTCTGAACCGTACCTAGCCGAGGCAGCCATCCAGCACATCACCCTGAACTTGACGGCTGTCCTGCATCAGTTTCTCAAGTTGGTCGGCAGCCAGGCAATCGATAAAGGGCGAATGGGAGAAGTTATTGCTCGGTTATGCTTGGCTCTGCATGGCTACGAGTCGTTACCGACATCTTCGATGTTGCCGTCTCTGATGACTGTGGAGGACTTGCTGCGGAAGTGCGTCGGTTCCGAAGAAGTGCCATATCGATCAGACGATCTGATT